ACACACACACACACACAGACCTTGACCTGCGCTTTCCTCCAGCTCAAGGAGCCATCCCCCTCCTTCACTTTCCCCTCCTGCCTCCTTCTGTCCTTCCCTCTTGCCCCCCACCCCCAATCTTTCTCTTGCTCCTTCCGGGGGTGCAGCAAGCGCAGGGCCTGCGTGGTGTTGGGGTGAGCACGGGCAGGTGTCCCCTGGGGCCAGCACCGGGCGCTGCCTTTAGACACCAAGCACACAGCCGCTGGCTCAGGCAGGGCGCTGGGCCGCCACCAGCCATAGTAGCAGCCCTGCCTTGCGGAAACCACTGTTCTCTCCTCACGGTGTCGTGTTCCTGACACCTTGTCAAAAGTCATTTGACTGGGTGTTGTACTATAACCGATCTGAAACGCCTTCAAGGGAGTAGTAACGCTTCGTATTTGCTTCTTCCCCGCCCCCGATTTAGGCAGCATCACGCTGTTTGCCGCCATCACCGTCATCCTGGGGTGCTTCAAAATTGGGTACTTCGTTGGATTTTCTGAATGTTTATCTGCCACGGAAGGCGTTTTCCCCGTCACGCATGCGGTGCACACGCTGGTGCAGGTGAGCTGTGATGATCATGCCGCGGTGCCTGGCAAGGCGCTCAGGTGTGTGAAAACCTGAAACATCAAGATGTCTGTCAGGGGTTGAGGCTGAATCCATCTCTGGGCTTCAGTGCTTCAGCTGCCTCCCGGGGGTGGGACCCGTGTCCCCATGGCCGTCTGCACAGGCCATGGCCAGGACCTAGGAGACAGGGGGACCGTGGCCAGCTGCAGGGGTACCCTCATGCCCCAGATATGCCTCGACTCCAGTTCAAGCCTGTCTTTCGGGAGTGAACCTCCACCGTGAGCCCCAAGCAAGCCGTGCTGTGACGCCATCCCTTTTCGCGTGTGGTGCCAGGTAGTGCGTCCTGGCGACTTCCTGGGCAGCTCTGGATGACCTTTGGGTGTTTCTGGAGATGAAACACGGTCTCCCAAGGAGCACCTCTAATACTGAATGTAGTGTTGCCCAGTCCCTATGGAGAACAGTTTGGAGGTTTCTCGAAATATTTGAAAGAGGTCCGCCCTTCAGCCAGCAATTCCTCTCCTCGGCATCTGTCCAAAGAATGCAAAAAGCATTAACTCAGAGGGATCTCTGCACTGCTGTGTTCATCGCAGCACTGTTCATGATGGCGAAGCTTGGGGAACAACCCCAGCGCCCGAGGACACAGAGCGGATTAAAAAGATGTGATGTATGTGGGCCACAGAATACTACTCAGCCATGAAAAAGATACAAATGTGTCATTTGTGACAACATGGATGGGACTGGAGGGGATGATGCAAAGTAAAATAAGTCAGAAGGAGAAAGACAAATACTGGATGACTGCACGCATCTGTGGAACGTACACAAACAAAACAAAGGGAGACCCAAAATTGCACCAAACAAGCCCTGGACATCTGACTGTAGTGTTGAGGCTATAACAGGGGGAGGGAGAGATGGGGGGACATGGGGGGGCCCAGTGCACTGTGACGCAGGGTGAGGGGCCCTGGTGGGGGTGTGGCAACGCACACCAGAAGGGGTGCCAGCCTTCACTCTGCTGGCACCCCACCCCACTCGCTCGGCAGGTGGCTATTGGAAGAACAGGTGCTCGCAGAGGTAACGGAGGCCAAGCCAGGCTTCAGGGTAGCCTCCAGTCCAGTGTGTCCTTGTGGAAGAGAGGACACCGTCACCCTCAGGGGCTGACTACGAGTAGAACCGGGGGGTGGGGGGCAGTGTCTGCACCTGAGCAAGAAGAAACAACTGTTGCCACGGTGATCCCCGCTCATCACCTCAAATCTGAGAGAATAAAGCCCTGTTTCCGGCCTGGGGCGCTTTATGATGGAGGTGTCTGCACCCTGACATGGAGCTAACTGGTTGCTTACCCCAGGGGTAAGCAGTCACATCCCAGGGGAGAGTCTTGCTCCAGAGGCAACATGGAGAGTCTTGGGGAGACCGCAGAGGATCCTCTCTGTTCTGTGTTTTTCTCTTAAAGATAACGCCAAGCTCTGGCTGACTGCTGGGTGGTCAGTGTGGGCAACTTGGTCCAGTGTCTGGAACCTGGGCACTCCCAGCTGGGCCTCTTGACCCGGAGTCACTGCTGCTGCTTAACTGCCAGCTGTTTCAAGAATTGCATGCTTCGGTACCATCGGCTCTTTTTTTTTTTTTTTAACCTCACTGAATTGCAAAATGAAGATTGAATGAGACATTTTGATGGTGCCTGGGGGTTGGCACCAAGGAGGGGTCACTGTGCGTTGCATGTGAAGCCCCCCACATTTTAAGAGCCTGTTGTGTCTGGCACAGAAGTTGCCCTGCCAAGCCCGGCGAATCAGGAGCTGGGGGGGTGGCTTACCGCGGACCCCTCAGGCTTCTCAGCATGAGGGGTTCACCTCAGTGCCGCTCGGCTTCTGGACAGGGGCTGTCCCCTTCCCACCACTGGTGGAGGACCAAGCAGGGGGCTCCCTGACCTGCAAGAGGCGGGGGGGGGGGGAGTCGGGGCTCATGCTCAGGCCTGCTCCCTGCCACCCTGCCCAACCCGGTTCAGCCCATCTGCATGGCCGCTAGTGACCGCCTGGGCCGAGCGCTGGGCGGCGAGCACTGTGCCACGGGGAATGGCACTGCCACCGGAGATGGTGGCAGCCACCAGCCTCCTGTGGGGCGGAGGCCCCTGACGCCCGATCGCCTCCACCCGTGTCAGCGAGCGGGACCCGGGCTCCCGCTGACGCGCTCCCCTCCCCCATGTAGGTTTACTTCCTGTGGGGCCACGCGCAGGACATCATCCAGTCCTTCAAAACCCTGGAAAGGTACAGGCGCGGGCGGTCGTGGGCATGTGAGTGCGGCGGGGCTCAGACAGCAGAACACGCCAGTCCGCTGGGCACCGGCCGGTGGAGGCCGCTCCCAGCTCCGTGCGGGAGCAGCGCCCCAGCCTGGAGGGTGGGGGGCCCTCTTTCTGCTTCCAGCGTCTCCCCGGGGGCCCCTGGAAGTGGTGACGGGGGGCTTGTGTTTCCAGCCCGCCAGTCAGGCACGTCCCTCGAGGCCTCAGTTTCCCTCCTCGGTAGGGTGGAGAGAACAGCAGCCGGCTCCTGGACCAGAGAGGGAACCCAGGAAGCTGACGGAGGGGGAGCGTCTGTGGGACGGTGGTGAACAAGCAGCAGGTGTCGCTGTCCGGGGCATGTCCTCTCTGTGTGCACGCGGCCAGCGCAGGGCCGGGATGGGTCCCTCAGAGAGGCCCCCACACCCCGCCACGGGAGCCGCCGGTCGGGAACAGGGGCTCCCGGCTGGTGCTGGGCATGATGCTGATATCATCATGGGTGGCGCCCCCCACAGGCCACAGAAGTAACTGCAGGAGCCCCCCTGTGCGAAAAGCATCAGCCCCAACAAGCACTTGGACACTTATGAAGCGCTGGCTGTGTGAGGCCCTGTCAGGGAGGCCGGGCTGTGCAGGGGAGGAGTCCAGCTGTCCTAGGCGAGGCAGTGGGTCTGGAGTCCTGCGGGCCGCCCTGGGGGTGCCCCAACCCCAGTCTCGGGCAGCCCCAATCCCAGTCTTAAGACGGGAGGGAGGCCATGGCTCCCGTGGGGGAGGGTGGGGTGAGGCCCCCCCGTGGGAGGGGAGTGGACAAATAGGATCCAGGGACCCCCAGGCCCCTCAAAAACAATTCGGCTGCCCCTCCTGAGGGGACCAGAGAGCCGGGGCGGGCTCCAGGGTGGCTGTGGCCGCTGCTTCCTGCTTGGGCGGCTCCGGCGTCCCACTTGACCCCAGCTCGCGGGGTCCCCATTTTGTCAGCTGGGGAGCCAGCTGCCACCCCTCTTCCCTCTGTGGGCGCAGCTGGGCTCCTCGAAGATTGAGGGGGAACAATTGCTGCTGTTGTGCTTCAGCCAATTTCCTTCCCAAGTGGCCCTTTCTTTTTGTGAGGGAACGTGTGAGGACTCTGCAAGTGGCCGCCGCATTCCCACCGCTGCCGGGTCCTTCCAGGTCCATCCGGCACAGCCCCACCACAATGCCGAGTCTGCAGGTGGGGCCCGGGCAGGGAGGTTTAGCGGTCATGGGGGAGCCCCGTGGGATTAGTGTCCTTAAAAGAAGGGGCTCTGTCCCTGGCCGGAGGGTCCTGGGCAGGTCACGGGGAGGTGGCGGCCAGGAGGAGAGGCCTCCTCACCACCCTGCGGCGCCCGCTCACAGCTCCTGGAGCCGCGTGCAGGGCCGCAGCTGTTACTGGCACCACCGGGGGCTGCTTCCTCGCGTCCTTCCCCCAAGTGCACACAGCTTCCTTTCTCCTTGCGGGGGTCCTGTTCCTTCTGCGTTGACATTTCCTGCGTGTGTCTTACTGGGCACAGCGATGCTTCTCCGCCGCATGCTTGCGGCCAGCACCCTGGGGTCCTGGGTGCTGCTAGGGCGAGGCGGGGCCTCCTGCCACAGACGCCTAGCATTTCTTCCCGTCCTGGGGGCGCCGGGTTGGTCTGGCTTCCCCGACGCCTCTCTGCGTCTGTCTCTTGGCCTCTTTCCTAAACTGTCAGGGTGTGCACTGAGCCTAAGGTTTAGGTTCTTGTCTTGTCTGTAGGACAAACGCGTAACATTTTAAAACCGTTTATCACCTCTAGGCTTTAGATTTAGGCTTCTCTAGAAAGCTGGAAGCTGTGGCAATCCAGGTAGCCCTGGCATGCGGGGGTTAGCACTGAGCTCGGGTTGTATCCCCCAGAAGGGCCCGGACCCTCTGTTTGCTGCAGTCTCTGCCAGCCCAAGGTCGCCTTCAGCAAACTACGGTTCCCTCGCAGGCCTTTGCTGCGGGTCCCGCCGGCTGGGCGCCTGCCCCTGGCCTCACTGTTTTCTTCTAGCCTTTGAGCCCATGTTCCACCATCCCAAGCTTTCATACACGCAGGGCTTTTCTTCTGGTCTGAGAACTTCCCTTCGTGGTTCGAGTCCTTTCCTTTTCCCAGGGGCGAGGCTTAGAGGAACGGAAGCTTTGAGGCCTGGGCTGCAAACGCACACTGAGATTGAGATGGGGTGGCCGGGGCTGCGGGCTGCCTGGGAAAGGCCCCGCCTGCGTGAGGAAAGCGTCTGTCCTGTGTCCACAGGACACTTTCCAGGCCCAGCCAACAGGTGGCTGCCAGCATATGGGCGGCTGGCCGGCCCAGGAGCCCGCAGCTGGGTTGGCATCGGTACCCGCTCCTCAGGCTCGAGGGGCCTGGGATTGGGCCAGGCCATCAGGACAGGACAGAGGAGGAGAAAGGGGAGCTGTGTGCATTGTGAGGGAGAGAAAAGCTGGCCAGGCCGAAGCAAACAGCATTGTCCGCCTCTGTCTGTGCAAAGCTGCCCAGACCCGCCGGGAAGGCGGCCGCCCATGCAGAGCAGCCGGCCAAGCAGATGGGCAAACACCGACCCTGAGGCTGGTCCCTTCCCCAGCTGCGCCTGGACGTCACGCAGCTGCCGAAGGGAGCCAGTTGAGTGAGGACAGACCTGCCTGCACTAGGGGCGGAGGGGTGGGGGGGCTGCCGAGAGGGCAAGGCACAGGGACCCCGCCGTGCCCTTCCCCCCCGCGGGCAGGCCGTGGGCAGGCATTCTTGACGAGACAGGGGAGGGCAGGCCCGCTGCCTCTGCATCTGCTCCCCAGCTAGGCTGAGAGGCTGCACAGACGTGCTAAGGGACGCCTCTCCCAAGTCAGGAGCTGGCCTCACCTTTGTTTGATAACTGGCGTCAGCCGCCAGACCGACCCGAGCAGCCACCCCAGCACCCCAGCAAGATAACTAGATGCCTTTACGATGGAAGGGGGCGCAGGTCAAGCTCCCCATTATTTGCAACCAAACACACTCTGACGCTCATGGCCACGCCTGGGCGCCACCAGTGTGACTCCGCCTTCAGCCTGAGGCCTGGGAAGACTTTGGGGGTTTGCATCAGGGGCCCGGCGGCCACCCCGTTCCCCTCCGCTCTCCTGGGTCCAGTTCCGCCCGCAGCTTCCTCACCTCAGTCTTCCCGTGGGGGGCGGTGGGGCCCAGACACAAAGGCGGGGCTCTGGCGCCCCGCTGCAGCGGCTGGTGTGTGCCTTATGCTGTGTGACCCCGGATTAATTCCTGGAGCGCTCTGGGTCTCCAGCAGCTTCACATGTCACATGCCATCACAAAACAGCTCTCTCTTTCCGTCTGCCATTCAGTGGGTGGGTTCCTTCCGGCTGGTGACTCTCGGCCATGAGGTAGCTGCCACAGATCCGAGTCTGGAGAGAAGCAGAGGGGGCAGTGTTAGGCGCTTTCATGCTCACTGCTGCTTCAAGAAAATAAAACCTGTTCGGGTGCCAGCAGATGCCCTCCCCGCCCTTCCCAGCCCGCCCCACTGAAGCCAGACGGCGACTCTGGCCGTGGAAGGAAGCGACGCTACAGAGGGTGGACGTGGTCACTGGCCAGCCACAGGGTGCTCCTGACCGCAGATTTCCATGGCAGGCCTTTCACCCATCCTCAGTCTTCTCCCCTCTGTCCTCCTAGAAGAAATGATCTGGGGTGTGACGGGCTGGCTCCCTGCTTTGTGTAAATCTCCATGGAGCTGTGCCTGCTTCCAAGACCTGGTTTCTCTTTGTCCTGTGGACACTGAGCTGAGTTTCGGCAGGTTCCAGATGAAGGTAGCATGCGGAGATTGTGGCGTTGGGAGGTCCCGTGGAAATGCCCCTTCCCGCCAAACAGGGCACCAGCCAGAGCCAGAAGAAACCAGAACCACAGCCCAGACGAGGAGTGTGTGTGTGTGTGTGGGGGGGCACACCCCTAGGGCTCAGAGCTCCCAGGTCTGCTCAAGGACCGAGTCCTTGCGTTTTCCAGGTTTGGGGTGATCCACTCGGTGTTCACCAACCTGCTCCTGTGGGCCAACGGTGTCCTGAACGAGTCCAAGCACCAGCTCAACGAACATAAGGAGCGGCTCATCATGCTGGGCTTCGGGAACATAACCATCGGTGAGTGACCGGCTTCCGACCCGGGGACCGCCGGAGGGCAGGCCCCGAGGAACTGCGGGACCAGCCCACTCGCAGACAGTAGTGGCCCCCTCCCGCCCTGCCGCCTGGCAGGAGCCCACGAAAGGCGCCTGGGCTCTCGGGCCTGGCCCGGGGCTGTCCTTCCGAAGCCATTTCTCGGCCTTGGCTTGCAGCGGCCTTTGTTTACCCTGGCAAGGTTGGCAGCTGCTTCTGCGGACGCCTCTGTTGGGCCCTTGCTGCAGAAAGCCCAGCTTGAAAACACGGAGAAATCTGCGGCGGGCGGTGGCTCGTTGGCTTTACTTCATTTGAGACTTGTTGAGCTCTCGGAGTTTATGATTTTGGCCATGTTTGTTCCCGTAGCGTTGATATTTCTATGTTCGTCCACAACTCGTTAGCGCTCGTGATCCCTCATTCCACGCTGGAGCACGCTGGAGCGCTGGGGTGTGCACTTTTCTGGGCCGGGATCCCCAGGCTGGGTCTTGCCCCTCCCTCCACTGGCCGTCTGCCCTCGGGCAGCCAGTCCGCTGCTCCTGGCCTCCTTTCCCGAAGGGAGCAGAGCCGTGTCTTTTCAGCGCTCGCCACCCACTGCAGTAGGCTGCCTTCTGCACTAGCTCCAGACCCAGGGCCCCCGGGGGTTCTCCCCGCCAGGGCGGTGGGATGACAAGTGAGGAACACCTGCCGCAGCCCGGCCACCGCTCCGGGAGGCCCCTTCCTGCTGGGGGCTTCGTTTCCCGTTGGTCTCAGCAGCAGCCACAGCAGTGACAACAGGAAGGATTTCTAAAAGCTGTTTTGCTGAGTGCCTGGCACTTTCTAGGCACTTTACTAGGCTCTTTTGGCTCTTTGACCCCTCGGGGCAGGCAGCGTGGGCCTTGTTACACAGGAAGTCGTCCAGTCCCAGAGAAGGTAAGTGAGCAGCCCGAGGCCCCACGCCGGGGAGTGCGTGAGCCAGGATTTGCTCTGCTCCCAGAGCCTTCTGGACAAATGGGGATTAGAGTCACTTCGAAAAAAAGATCTCCATCAGCTCTGGCGTTCAGTGACTCTGAACTTTCTCCCTAGTTTCTCTCCTCAGCTTTTGCAAGTACAGTACTGAGTGACCAGAGATGGGAGCTGCCCGGCGCTGCCAAGAGAGGGCTACCCAAGCTTCCGCAGAGCTTTTCCGTCGGGTTTGCTCAGTAGCACGGGCTCATCGTGCGTTAGAGCAGTGACGAAGCATAGAGCAGAAAGGCCCCTGGCAGCGGCGGCCCGAAACGCGGCCAGGTGGGGTTAGCACCATGTTTCCTGGCCAGGGCCGCCTCCCGTCCGGCTCAGTGCGAATTGCATCCGCTCAGACCGTGTCTGACTTCAGCCTCCAGTGAGCAATAGCCCGACGCAGTCCCGCTGCTCATGGCCTGTGCGCTTGCACGCGTCTCTGACGGAACAATCTCACCGCGGCAGACTCCAATTTCCACTGCATTCGGCGCACTCCATCCTCCTGGTCCCTCTGTCATCCCATCGTTGAAAATATCGGTTGCAACCCTCTAGGTTGACTTCACGGCTGAGTTCCAGGTTGTGCTGTGCATTTAGAAAGTGCTGGCTGTGCATTTTTCCTTCCTTTCCCTCACTGTTACTGCAACATGAGCGCTTTTCTCTCTTTTGCACAGTGAGGTGGTCTCCACCCCCTCTCGCTGACACAGACACACAGACGCGCACATGACACTTTCGCTGGTGCTTTGACTGGCTCTTGACTTGTCCTTTCAGAGAGGAATTGCAGGTCACCTCCATGTGCTTCACATTTCATCCTCACTGGAGCGTCTCCCCTCCTTGCTGGAAAGTGCTGTCTGTCATTGCCAAGTGGCTCCCGGAGGAGTGTGTGTGTTTGAGGGTGCCTGCATCACCCCACACTTGAAGCAACAGATATCCTCAGGAGGACGATCTCTGCAAGCAGAAAGGGGCATTTCCCCTTCCCTGAAGTTAACTTGAAGATCACACATGTACACCACACTCAAGAAGATTCAGGGCCTCAGGGATGCACCATCTAGAGGGGCGAACACACGTATACCTTCACGCGCTGGGGCCGAGCGCCAGTCACAGAGAAGCTGGAGAAAAAAGACCCAGTGGGGGCTTCTTTTCATGAAAAAAAAAAAAGACGAAGGAAAGCCATACGCCTTCCCCACAGAGCAGCCATTTGAGCATGTAGTTTGAGCCCCTCCGAATTTCTACCACCTGTCTCTGCTTCTCGGCTCTGTGTCCGTACTTATAATATGGACTCAGACGCTCCCCTCCTCGGCCAGCCGCTTTGGTCCGGCCGCAGCCTGTGAAATCTGCACGCGCCAGTAAGCCCGTTTCCACCCTGCCGCTCATGACGACCGAAACACGCGGTGCGGTGGGCGAAACCGGGTGGGCGTGACGGGTTCCCCCTTAGCGCTCGGGGCTGAGCATTCAGCCAGGAGCTGTGCTACCGGCACAAGCCGAGAAGTAAAGCTTTCGCTGCAGCAGGTGGCCCCAAGCTGATATGAGAGAGAGAGGAGAGAGAGGGAGGGAGAGGAGAGAGAGGGAGAGGGAGGAGAGGAGCGTGCTGCCTGCTAACGCCCTGTGCTCTGCTGTCTCCCTAGTGCTGGATGACCACACGCCTCCGTGCAGCTGCACCCCCCTCACACTCTGCTCCGCCGTCTCCCAAGGGGTCTACTATCTCTACCCTTTCAACATAGAGTACCAGATCCTCGCCTCCACCATGTTCTACGTGCTGTGGAAAAACATCGGGCGCAAGGTGGACAGCCACCAGCCCCCCTCCAGGCAGCTCAGGCTCCGCGGGGTGGCGCTGGGCTCGGCGCTGGGCCTGACCGTGCTGGCCGCCACCATTGGGGTGGTGGCGGTGTATCTGGCTCAGATCGGCCGCTCCAAGACCAGGAGCGAGTCGGCGCTCACCATGTTCTACCTGTATGCCGTCACCTTGCTGGGTCTCATGGCGGCCGCGGGCCTGCTGGGCATCCAGATTCACAGGACAGACGAGAGGTCCCTAGATGAGTCCAAAAACCCGGCCCGCAAGCTGGACACGGAGCTCCTGGTGGGCACGGCCTCGGGCTCCTGGCTCATCTCCTGGGGCTCCCTCTTGGCCATCTTCTGCGCAGAAGCCCGCCCCCCGTACACCTGGTACAACCTGCCCTACTCCGTCCTGGTGATCGTCGAGAAATACATCCAGAACGTCTTCATCATCGAGTCCACCCACCGGGAGCCCGAGAAGCTCCGGGAGGACGTCAGGACCCTGCGGGTGGTCACCGTCTGCGGCGGCCCGGCCTCCTGCCCCGCGCCCTCCTGCGGCCCCACCGGTGTGGCCCCCATGGGTGGGATGGCGGCCGGGGACGTGCTCCCCCGGGGCGGCCCGAGGCCCCCCGCAGCGAGTGTGCGGGAAGACGGCGGCAAAGAGGAAGAGGACGGGCCCGGGGAGGCGGCCCTGGGCGCAGCCTGCCACCCCCGTTTCCTCCAGGGCGACGCCAAGACGGCGGTCTTGAGGAACATTGCAGCCTTTTTGTTCCTCTGCAATATTTCGGTAAATGGCATCACGTTATTTACTTCTCTGAAAGTCATCAATGCATCCGTTTTCTGGCTTTTTCCTAATTAGGAGCGCAGGCGGCTGCAGCCGGAGTAGCCGAGGTGAAGGCTCGCCGTGAGGGTGGAATGCAGGCTGCTGCGCGAGGACCCTTGCCGGCTGTGTGCCGGCCGGGGCGGGTGGCCGCGAGGCTCTCGGTCACGGGAAGGGGGCAGAGAGGAAACGTAATACAAGGAGCAGACGGCGCCGGCAGGCATCCGTGCTGTAGAGGAGCGTGGGCCGGGGCCGGACCCAGAGCAGGCTGCCCACGGTCAGGCCCCTCCCCAGCTCCGAGTATTTTCTGGTCGCAAACAGTGGGAAGCGTGCCGTGCGGCGCCTCCCATCCTAAGGCATCCAGCTGTCTTGCGAGGGTTCCGGGGCGGCTGCTCGGGCCGGCTGGCAGCTGACCTCGCTCATCGGGGTCCGGGTGCTGCGCGTTGTCCTGCTGACTGTGTGGTGTGGGGCTTGTCGCCTCGTGGTCAGAAGGTGGCTGCGGCAGCGCCAGGCATCACTTCAGGGTGCGGGCAGGAATAAGGGGGGCGGGGAGGGGGAGGGCTGGCCGTGTCGCTCACACGGCCAGCCTAGCTGCAAGGGAGGCTGGGAAAGTGGACTTTGGGCTGTTGAGTCTCTGGGATGGAAGGTGTCGAGGAGAAAAAGGCACGGCGAGGTGACGAGTACTGTCTGCTCCGGCGTCGGCAATGGCTGGAAGTCGCCCCGTGGGCACGACCAGGAGAAGCGTCCGGGGCAGAGAACGCAGCACCAGCACAGGCCCCACAGCGCCTCTGGGGGTGCAGCGTGAACCCCGTCCTCATCAAGCAGAGCAGCAGTGCGGGAAGCGGGCGAGAGTCCCGGCTAGCTGGGCCCAGCTGCGGACAGACTTGGCTGAGTCTGGTCGCGGTGTTGGTCAGCCGTGGACACTCAAGGCTGGTGTGGGGGAACGGTCCCTTAGCAGCGCTGGGGAGGCTGGGGAGGGCAGGCCGCGGCCGGGAGGCCAGAGCAGAAGGCCTGCGGCCCCCAGGTAGGGAACGGTGGGCACTTGCGCCCAGGCGTGTCTGCGGGGCTGGGCAGCGTCTGCGGCAGTAACAGGGAACAGTGTTTTGGTGGGAGGTTTCCCGACACAGGAAGGGGGTTGGTGAAAAGGCCCCGGGCAGGCCTCTGCAGTGACTGTGGCCGGGGTGGGGGCGCCCAGTCCCCCAAACCTGCCCACAGCCAGGCCTGCTTTGCTGCCTGGAGCGCCTCCCCCTCCTGCCTTTCCCCGAAAGCAGATCCCCACCTTTCTGTGGGCGCAGCCACTGAGGGGCTGCCACGTTTGATTTGACCCTGAGGTATCAGGGTGTGGGGAGGCCACATCTCTGCCACGAAGTCTGGCAGCTTTGGGTCACCGGGCCTCCTGCCCCGCCAGGCCGGCTAGGGGGCGCTTGAAGGGAGAAGGGTCCAGGGCCCCTTCTTCTCCTCAGACGGTGAAGGAGCTGGCGCTGAAAGCAGCCAGCAGACGGACCCTGGGAGGGGGAGACTCAGGGTGCCGGTGCAGTGTCCACTGACCCCTGCCGGGAGTGGAGAGAGTGGACTGGTGCAGTGTCCACTGACCCCTGCCGGGAGTGGAGA